AGGGTCTTCTCAATTTTTGAGGACCCAAACCTAAATATCTCTTTAAAAAAACAAATTGGTCTAAATGAAACATTCATATTATACTTTGTAAAGGTCTTGTAAAAAATAATTGAATTTTTGTGATGCTCCGCAGTATGTTGTGGATCTGAGGACCATTTAAAGGAAAACGTCCCAGACCACATATTTCAAAAACAAACGGATCAACTGATCTGAATGAAATATTCAGAAAAAGTTTAACCAAGGCAGAAATTATTATGTGCTGGCGACGAATCAGTCAAGGGTGTAAATTGGAAGGTATTTCAATTTTTGAGGACCAAGACCGAAATATAAAAAAAATCAATGGGTATAATTTAAACATTACCTTGTATAACAGTTTGTCATATTCGAGTAAAGAAATGATTAAATGTTTGTGACGATCCGGTAGGGTGTAGATCTAAAAACCATTGAAAGGAAACGTCCCAGACCACATATTTCGAAAACGGATCAACTCATCTGAATGAAACATTCGGAAAAAATGTTAACCAAGTTACAAGGAAGATAGTGTGTTGGCGACGAATCAGTCAAGGGTGTAAATTGGAGGGTCATTTAAATTTTTGAGATCCCAGAAGTAAATATCTATAAAAAGTTTTCAACTTTCTTCAAGAGGAGTAGACTGAAAGTGAGCTCGATAAAATAAATAGACTTAAATCTCGTTTTTCATGAGCAATCTAAGTGATTCAGCTTAACTATTGTTAACGAATTTGTTGGAAAGGCTTTTGATGTGTTAATTGTGGAAATTTAGAGTTTGAGACTGATTACTAGCTGCAATATTATGGAATGATAATATAATTTCATTTACTAATTTAATTTGGTGTTCAATGTGTTCCATATGTGTTTGATCCAATGACCGGCGTAGTAATGTGAAGCGCTTAGAGGCCTTGTAAAGGCATGAAGCGCTATATAAGAACGACATATTATTATTATTTTCAAATGGAGGAAAACAAGCAGGAGCATAGCGTTACATGTGATCACAATGCAGGTGAAATGCCGGCGAAATGCGAGTACCAGGCTAACACAAATGGCGGTGTAGGTGAAACTACATCAGAGACAGGGAATCGGAGTGCCGTCCAAGCCCGTAGCCGGGGGGGGGGGGGTTCGTTGGGTTCGTTTTCATGAAGTGCCCTTTCAACAAAGGCTGGCTAGCCTACACCTTGGGCCTAGCCTAGAGCCTATCATCATTAATAAAAAAAAAGTCCTACTTTAATACCCGATTGTTAGGCCTACCCAGTGGCGTATCCAAGGTGATCCAAGCCCCCCCTCACACAAAAAGCTTGCGCCCCCCCCCATTAAAAAAATTAGGCTTATGCTTATGCTGTCACGGTTAACGAAAATAAATTCCACGCCCCCTCATATTTTGGTTCGCCCTCACCCCACCATTTTAATACTGCTAGATATGCCACTGGGCCTACCTAGTTAACATAAAATAAATAAAAATTGTGCATTTTCAACTGTTACATTATTATTTAATCAGTACGACCATATAGGCCTACCCGTCCCGCTACGATTGTCGGTCACCGGCAAGCTAGAGAGAGGCCTTCAAAATACTGTAATTTAACAGAATTCCCTGGATTTCACACATAAACAATCCCATCCACTCCACCCCTGGACATATTATTATTATTATTTTAGACTTGCAACAAGTCTCACAAGCTGTGCCCCCTGGATCCCCACCGGGGCTTTGTCCTGGACCACACCAGGGGGTCCTTGGCGGACCCCTGGTCCCCAGCCAATGGTGCTCGCAAGTGCCCTTTTAGTATCAAAAAGAACCCCCCTATCAAAATCCTGGCTACGGGCTTGGCCGTCAAACTAATATTTTTAAAAGAATGACGATATAAAACTGGATGGCAACTCTAACGTTACAAATGAAGAAATATATGACGCCCTGTGTCGCTGTGTGGATGGAAAAGCACTTCTTGGAATCCAAAGAATAAGGAATCTTTGGCGGCTATATCTACTTACACATGCAGATCGAGTTACAATCATAACGTCTGGCCTAAGCATAAGAAGTAGGACGATTACTGTTTATGATAAGAATCCGTTCCTAGGTCTAGATCAAAATACATTGAGGATTTTGATTAAAGATATTCCGTTGTCGGTTGCAGACATTGAAATAACGAATACAATAACAAAGCTTGGTGGGAAAGTGAAAAGTAAAATTTTCCCAGCAAAACTCCGAATACAAGTATTTTAAACGGCGATCGTTTTGTTTACATAGAGAAACCAACATCTCTTCTTCCTAGGCTGATTGTGATTAAGGGCTTTAAAGCCCGTCTCTTTCATGAAGGAATGGAGGAAAAAAATGTAGCAACTGCCTAATGAGTGCTCATGTGACAAGGGAATGCAAAGAACAAATTAAGTGTCATCAATGTGGTAAATTTGGTCACAAAAAGATGGATTGTAGTAAATTGGAAATTTCAACACCACTTACCTGTAGCAAATTTGCTAGTTCTGATTCTGAGAGCGAAGAAGAAAGTACAAAAGACATAGACAGTGATATAGTGACAAAGAAAACGAATCTGATACAGAAGGAAACACAAATGAGGTAATATGCACAAGTGTAAGTACACAAAAATCAGAAAGAAAAAGTGATTTAAATGACAATCAACAAAAAATCACAACTTTCTTGCCACAGGAAAAAAAAAGAACAGATGATGATAAACTAAGCTATGAACATAGAGGTAATGCCATGAAAGGTCAGAAGAAAAATAAAAGCAATAGTAAAACTCCCTCGCCAAACTCTTCGAAACAGAAGAAGAAAAAGCGCAAGAGGTAGTGTACTTTTTGTATAGTTATTTGTATAATTATTACACAATCATTTTGTATGTGATAGTTCTCTTTTGTACAATATGTATTCATATTTTTTATACATAATTATTACATTGGGTCTGTTCTTGTGAAATATTGTATGCCTGTTATAGTTCAAATTTCTTAAAACTATGTTTCCTTATAATAATAATAATATAATAATACAATCCCTACTTAGTGGTATGAAATAATACATGAATATTACAGGGTTCAAAACATTATTCTTATCATTTATGTCTTACAATGAACAACACATCCTTCCATTGCATCTGTCTAAACGTTCGAGGTGTAAGAGATAAAAGTAAGCAGGAGAAAATTAAAAGATGGTGCCTCGATCAAAAATCAGACATTATTTTTCTTCAAGAAACTCACCTTACAAGTGATAACAAAGGTAACCCCAATTTTTCTTTGAATGGTTCAGCATTTCACAGAATAGGAACTTCAAACAGCAAAGGCGTTTCAATACTCAGCAGAGAAGGAATATAGATATAATTGACAAATTTATTGATTCTGATGGTAGATATGTCATATTGAAAATTAAAATTTACTAAAGAATTATACTTTTGTTAACATTTATACACATAATGATAGGAAATTACAAAGCGCTTTTTTTAGAAAGTTACAAAAAGTATTAAAAACATACATAATCCTTTAGATGATAGAATCCTGATTGGGGGAGACTTTAATTTCATTCTGGAAAGAGAATACGATTAAGTGGGAAGTGTCGATATAAACGACAAATCTGTATTATACTCTAAAAAATTTCATGAAAAAGTTAAATCTGTTTGATTGTTGGAGACATTTTAATGCGAACAAAATAGAGTTCACATGGAGAAGAACATCAAGGCACCTATATAGGCGTTTAGATTACTGGATGTCTACTTATAAAAATGCCGTAAATTCTGATGAAATACTCTCTTGTGATATTAGACCTGCCATCTTAACTGACCATCAAGCTGTGTCAATAAAACTCACTACACATATGAACGTCGGAGAGGCGCAGGTCTCTGGAAAATTAATAATAGTATTATAATTGATCATTCTTATCAACAGCACATTAAACAACCTGTTTAAAAAATATCATATGAAAATATAAATCTTATTAAGAAATTGAAATGGGAAATCACTAAAGTTAAAATAAAAGAATCCTCTATAACTTTTAGTAAAACCAAAAACAAATTAAAATTACAAGAATTAAAAAGACTACATGAGATAACAATTTCCAGTAAAGAAAAGATTGACGATATTATTGAACAAAAAGAACAAGAACTAAATTCCATTTATGATAAAGAATTAATTAAAGGGAACCCAAATAAGGTCACGAGCAAAATGGGTTGAGAAAGGAGAGCGTAATAATAAATATTTTCTAAATCGGGAAAAGCACAATGGAAATAAAAAACAAATACACTGTCTAAAAATCAATGAAGGGAAAATAGTGTCAGATCCAAC